TCCCGGACTGGTCGTCCTCATACATCGAGGCTGAGCAGTCCCCGTCGCAACCGCACCAAGACCGGCGGACCCGACAGTCGGCGACCGCACAGGGGTACGCACCCCTCACGCCCCACGCTTCGAGACTGCTAGGCGAGGGGGGAGATCCGCGGATCCGAGGACGCACGAGAGCGGAAGCGCGCAACATCGCCCAGCAGCAGCTTTCTGCCCTATCGGTGGATCGGCAGTTCCCATCACTGCAGGACGACGCCGTCACCACGCCTCTCCCTCCGACCGAGATCACTACGGGGCTGCTGGCTCAAGTAAACGAAGACGTCCTCCTCTCCATGCTGGATGCTCGGCGAGTCATGAACGGCAAGACAATGCTCCGGCCAGGATTGGAGGGGGGCGGCGAGAAGGGGGGCGGAGGCGAGCAGCTCGCGAAGAGTGAGGGGGTGAGAGAGAGCAAGGGCAATTTGCCGGAGGTGGACACCGGCGAGGGGGGACGCATGGGGAATGGTTGGTCGATCGGTCCGTCTAAGCGGGGCGTTCCGCTTGGACTTGTGGCGCGTCTTGCGACGCGCGACGACCTTGACTCAGCTATGCGCGAGATGGAACCGCCTCTCCTGCGACCCGACATCCCGCGCTGCCACGCCAAGGACCTCCGAGTACCCCAGACTTTCAGAGAGGCGAAGCAGAGCGAACACAGCGTGCAGTTCATGGATGCGGCCAAGCGTGAGGTGTTTGGATTGCTAGAAGCAGACGCGTTTAAGATTGTTGGACCGTAGCAGCGAATAGACGACTGCATCAAGTCGAAGCTTCGTTTTGATTGGAAGGTAGATGCGTTCGGCTTTCCTACATAGGCCAAGGCTAGACTTGTTGCGAGAGGAGTACATTGACTTTTGCGATTTGTATGCACCTACTGTAGCTTCGTCGAGTGTTCGTATGTTGGCAGCTTTGGCGTGTGAGCTTGACTTGGAGTTGTGTCACTTCGATATCGATCAGGCCTTTGTGAGGGCCCCTCTCAATGAAAATATTTTCATGCGAATGCCGGAAGGATGTGGTGCGTTGTCGGGGAAGATAGTGCAGTTGAACAAGAGTCTTTATGGCTTGAGGCAGGCATCTAGGGAGTGGTACGCGTTGCTCAAGAAGTGTCTTTTGGCTTTGGGGTTCGAGCAGTGCATGGCTGATTCTTGTGTTTTTCGTTTTGTCGAAGGGGGGGAGTAGTGTTGCTTCTAGTAGTTCACGTAAACGATATTTTTGCAGTGGGGACGAAGGAGAGATGTGATCAATTCGGGAAGGACCTGGGAGAGTACGTGCCGGTGAAGTCTCTGGGGGAGTTGAAGTGGTACTCCGGTTGCTATTACGAGAGGGACAGAGAGGCAGGTAGGCTGACGATTTCACAGCAGACATACACCGAAGAGTTGGGAGAGAGATATGGTGTGGAGTGGGGGGGAGGCATTCCTTTGCCCACCACCTGGAAACTTTGGGACTTCGACGCGGACGAGCCGAGCGTAGAGCACCCGTTTCGAGCGCTGGTTGGGTCGCTGCTGTGGATTGCCCTGTTGACTAGGCCGGATATCGCGAATTCGGTGAGAGCAGTAGCGAGGTACTCTGGTGCACCGAAGTTGATTCACTGGAAGGCTGCACTTAGTATTTTAGGATATGCAGTTAGGACTAGTTCTTTCGGGATTTCTTTTCAGAGGGGGGCGGTTTCGGGATTTTCTTTGATCACTTTTGTCGACGCGGAATACGCTTCACGTGCGGTAGACCATAGGTCGGTTTCGGGAGGGGTAATGATGTNCGGTTTCGGGATTTTCTTTGATCACGTTTGCCGACGCGGATTACGCTTCACGTGCGGCAGACCGTAGGTCGGTTTCGGGAGGGGTAGTGATGTGTGCAGGAGGGGCAATTGCATGGTTCTCCAAGACTCAGAAGTGTGTGACTTTGTCTACCACGCAGGCTGAATACGTGGCAATGGCGGACATGGGGAAGGAGATTTTGTTTTTGAGGCAGGTTTGGCGTTTCATTTCGCCGAAGGAGTTGCGGCCATGCATTCCACTGTATGAGTATAACGAAGGTGCTATACAGATCGCAGAACACCCGATCTCGAATTCCAACTCGAAGCACATCGACGTGCGGCATCATTTCCTCAGGCAGCTCGTAGATGAGAAGGAGGTAGAGATCATCCACGTAGCGTCGCAGTATCAGCATGCCGATTTCCTCACGAAGGCGCTACCTGAGAGAGAGTTTGTTTTCCACCGGGACTACGTGATGAATTTGAAGTGAAAAGTCCAGGAGATTCTTTTTGCCTTCGAGCTTTATCTATGTCTTTGTCTTATCCGATTTGTTGGCTTTTGTATTGATTTGTTTGATTTTCTGAGAAATTGAGGTCAGGGTTGACCGGTAGAAATTGTCGAAAGTGTTTCTGGTTGAATGGTTGGCAATGAATGCAAACCGATGGGAATTCTAACGAATGTCTCTGGTTTAAAGGTCTTCAGTGTTAGGAAAAGAATACAGTTTGAGACGAAGGGAATGTCTTGCGCTGTATTTTGTTTCAGGTTTTTGGTGTGGGATGATCGTAAGCATAGTATATTGAAGTCCGGGTGTAATCTTGCCGATGCAGCGAGTAGGGGGGCTGTTGGACGTACTCACAGCATCGACAGATTATTGCAAGCAAGATTTCCGAGCAAATGGAGCGGGGAGTATGGGGTTCAGCAGTTGCTATGGATTAGATTTGGTGGTTCCAACTTTGCCGCATATTTCAGGATTGAGGGTGGGGGTATAGGTGCGTCTACAACGGATATGGTGATTGTGTTTTGTGGCTGCCCACTTCTTCTTTTTTCCCTCTTTTTTTCCTTCTTCCTGTGTGCAATCAAGTCCTTTTTCCCGGCTATCACGCCACGGCTACCACGCCAATCCCGGCTATCACGCCACCCGGCTACCACGCCTTCTGTACTTGCACGTCCTTGCACACGCCTTCGCACCACGGCTATCACGCCAACAGGCTTTCATACCACATTCAGAGATACCACACCCGAGCTATCACGCTCCATCCCAAAGCAGCAGGCTATCACGCCCATCGTAGTTCCTCCATTGAACCGTTGGCGGCGACCACGCCACTGGCTCTTTTATCTCTCAACTACGGGACCCCGCGCGCCAAGGGCGCCTTCCGCGATCGAGTGTCCGTGGTTCAGGTTTAGGGTGTTGCTGTACCGGCTAAGCTCTGAAAAAGCACCCCTGATCACCTCTATCCGCAAGGAACCGATTCCGCGGGTCAGATTGTGGGTCAGGGGTCGGGAAGGGTGGTGTTTGAGGGGTTCTTTATTCTTGTGTTGGAGTTAGTATTGAGGGGGGTACGTGACCAGGGTTTAGGTGGGTGCAAAATACTGTCTGTCGACCCCCTCAGAAAGTTGCTTCTTGCCCCATTTTAAGCGCTGTTTCGTCGGTGCCATGATCCGCTTCTGTGCGGGAGTGACACTGGAGACATCCCACGTATGTAAACATGTGAAATTATGGCAAAATGCACTAGAAATAATGTGGTTATCATGCAATAGAAGTATATATGCGAACGAACGACATAATAGAAGGTGTATCCCCGCTCACAGCAGTTGATTTTCGACCGTTTCCTTGCCGACATGAACGAAAAAACAAATGCGATACATGACATTCTCAAATGAACCACACCACAGCTCTAACCCCAGCCCACACATACATAAAACCTCGCAGAAAACCGACCAAACATCGACAAAAACATACATGTCCTCTTTACTCAAATTGCCACAATGTTTTTACACCACCGGGAGTGACCTTGAAAACAAGGGCGTCGTACTGCAACACCTCACCCTTTTACTTCTGAGTCTCAACTGAAACCAGGTCGGCTTTTCTCAAGCCCGATCTGTTCTCTACCACGCCAACTTGACCAGGGTAGATGCTCGCCACCTTACACTCCAGGTACGCTCCCAACCTTTACTTCGAGCAGAAACACGAGGCCTTACGAACACGGCACGTGTACGTCTCCTTGAAATTCTTGGGGGCGGGGAACGCGCGCCATACGTCGGCTCCAATAAAGCTGGTGGGATTGCACGCTAGCTCCACCTTCCCGTCCTCGCCCCCGACCTGCACGTCCCCGACCTCGTCTACTGTTTGCATCCCGTCAGACTCCGCCTCTGGCCGCCAGACGGACCGGCCCGTAACTGTTGGAGTTTTTGTCGGAGGATCACGGAAGAGGTCTCCTTTGTATCTATTTCGACCCAGCGGGTTCGATTCCCGGGGTGCACTGGTGCACTTTTTGCGAAACATGCGGGAAGGCGGTGAACTTGATTCCGCCGCACTTATTTGGCGCCAAAAATATGGTTCAGAACCCCGAAAAAAAAGTGCACCTTTTTATTGCGTTATTTCCGTCCTGCAGAGCCCAAAACCGGTCTCTTTTTTTTCTACGAGCCTAACTCCAATAGTTATGGCGATGTACATTCGATCGCGGAAGCCGCCCAAGGCACCGACGCACAAAGCTACTCAACAAAGTGCCTGCTCTTAGCGCCATTCACTTCGTGCTGTGACTATTCGATGGGCATGAAACCAGCGTCATTCGACAGCTGATGTAACAGGCTTCTTGTTGAACCCGCCAAGTGTGCGTGTTGCTCAATTGTTGCATGCAAAAGTTGAGAAAGAGTGTGTGTTTTTCAATAAACTTTTGCGGGAGAGGACATTTTGACAGATTTCTTTTTTTTGAGAAAAAACGGGAAGTGCCCAATTAGACTAGGTCTTGATTATTGTGTTCCACGGTTCAGCCAAGATGAGGTTATCGTGCGGGACCTAGTGTACTTGAAGGAGGAGGAACGGAGGGGGGAGGGATTGCTGGACCGAGTCCGGAGGGCGGTGTGGGGGATGCTATATGCCGACGATGCCGGCGTTGTGTCGAAGTCCGCCGACGGCCTGGCGAGGATGATGACCATTATCGTGGAGGTGTTCCGGGAGTTCGGGCTGACGGTGTCGGAGAGGAAGACGGAGACCCTGGTGATGCGGGTGAAGGAGAGACAGCGACCGCCGCCGCCGCCACCGCCGGTGCTGACCATCGAAGCAGCGGGGCAAAGGTACGCACAGACGACCGAGTTCCGATACCTGGGCGGCCTCGTCAACGAGCAGGGCGACCTTACCCGAGAGATCAACCACAGGAGCAAAGCAGCGTGGGCGTGCATTAAGCGATACGCCACGGAGCTCTTCGACCGACCGGGAGCACCGTTTCGCCTCAAAGCCCGCCTGCTCCAGGCGGAGGCAGTGGAGGCACTGCTATACGGCTGCATGACATGGTCCCCACGCCGCAACCACTACGGAATGCTGCAGACGACACACCACCGGCTACTCCTGCGAGTCATCGGCTACCGGCGCAAACGAGGCACCTACCGGCAGCTGTCATACGCCCAGGCGCTAAAGAGGGTCGGCTGCCAGAGCGTGGAGGCCACTGTCCGTCAACGGCGCCTGCTCTTTGCGGGGGCCGTGGCAAGACAGCCGGACGGGCGGCTTCCGAAACGGCTGATGTTCGGCGAGTTGGTGGGAGGGGAGGACCCGGGCCAGGGAAACCCGGAGCAGAACTGGCTGACATGCCTGAAGGACGACATGAAGATGTTCGAAGCCAGGTACGGCTCCACGACCGACAAGCCGAGCGTCTTCGGAGTCCCGAAGTTAGTCTGGAGTGAGGCGGCGAAGGTGGAGGGGGGGGTACCGTGGCACGCGGGGGTGCTACAGGGAGCTGAGAGGTTCATGGCCTCTTGGCACAAGGGCAAGGAGGAGGCCAGCCGACAACGAGCCATCAAACGAGGAGACAGCGGGCCCAAAAATAGTCTAGATACGGCACCAATCAACGGGGCGGTAGGGGGGCGGAAGGAAACGGCGCGGCGGGAAGAAAGCAAGCGAGAAGAGACCGACCGCGTGACGTGACATGTTGCGGTCGAATTTCAACGACTAATTTTTCTGTTGCCCTCTCCCCCGTTTGCTGTCGCGTTCAGACTGTCTCTAGGGATATCCCTGTCTCTGTGCGAGTTTGTTTGTGTCCTCGTCTTTGCTTTATTCTGTTTTATTTTGTCTTTTGTTTTGTTTTTTACTGGCACGTACCCCCGCCCCTTCCTTTGGCCGTCGACCTGCCTCCATGTAGTGGGAGGCTACCCCCCCAGGCTGGTGGTGCGGCCGTTCCACTAGTCTAATTATTTATTTTATTTTATTTTATTTGTTTCTGATTATATTTTGTTTTCTTGTATTTTATCGCTCTGCTGACCCTTGGGGTCCATTTTATTTTGGTATACCTTTTCTAGGTACGTTAGCCTGTGACCACGGAAATTGGCCGAGTCAAGTGATGGATTAGTATGGAGAGATTGAGACAGAAGGAGGTACTGGATAGAGAGACCGGGATGGTTTTTAATGTGAAGACAACAACAAACAACAACAACCGTAATATTATGGTTTGACGTGAACAAAATTTATTCCACGCACACACGCAACGCGCTTCCTAACAACGAATGCGTAAAGTCTAGCGTTGTTTTCCAATGCGAGCAGCACAACGCTACAACATATCTGGACACTCAGCACATATGCATCATCCCTACGACACAGCATGGGTCACATGCGGTGAAATCGGATGATCAATCCCTACGATCCCAGGATTCCTCCCATCCGGGTGCCCCCCTCTGGTCGAGAGCGAGAGCAATGCGAGAGGGTGCCGCAGTCCTGAGCCAGCCAGCACCAGCAGAGCGGTGACAGGTGACTCAAAGCAGTCACAAAGTGACTAAACGCCGCTATATTGTGCGGTGTGCTGCGCTGCCCTCCATTTGTCGCTGCTAGCAGACCATTTTGGGGGGTACTGCGCTTGAAACGGAGCCTGTGGATTGTGGATAATCCCCGAAAGGGAGAGCGGCTCCAGTTGACATTTCAAATTTCGTGACCTCGTGAGCTCATGGCGTCGATCCATAAGCTTTCCATCCGCGGCATCAGAAGCTTCAGCCATGAGCGAGAGCAGGTGCGGTCTGGTCTCGTGTGGCTTGCTTAAAGGTGGAACTCAGTTGATTCGTTGTTTGGTGTGTTTGTGCGCAGAAGGGGCGAACAGTCGAGTCCTCGGCCTTGATCATGATGTGCTGCAAATTTGCAACATTTTGAAAACATGATTTTGCATTTCAAAATCAAGATGTTGCTCGGGCGTGTTGATCCAAAACACACACCGCCGTCTTTTGTGTGCGCCGTCGGGATTGCACACACGTGGGGTGTGTGCCTAGTTCCTTGAGGCTCTGCTATTCCATGTGGGCAATGATCATCGTCTTGTGTGCAGCTAGCTGCCCGTAGGGTTGGAAAGCCTGAAAATAGAGACAGGCAGCAGACCGCCAGCATCGAAGCAGCAGCCAACATCCTCTTTGTCGAAGCGCCTCCTTGATGGCGTCTGCTCTGACTGCTGTGCCTCCTGGACAAACAAGAGTTTTGGGAGACACCCAATCGTCCTGTTTTGTCGCCCCTTGCCCACAGCTGTTTCTACCATACTCTGCTGAAAAATCCTTGACAATGTGTTGAATATGATCCGCTGCGCCCTGTCTGTTTCGCCAATCCGTCAGATTGTAGACTACCGTGTGTTTATTTTCGCCCATGGAAACCCAATGATTTCGACCGTTCCACTAGAAATGGGTTTTGGACTGAGGGAGAGGAATGGTGGGTCCTGTTCGTACTAAGTGTCAAGAAAGCTTGTCTGATCTCACCCGCTGGTTCATTCATCCTGACACCGGGGAATAAACCATCTGCTTGAAATCCTTTGAATATAGTGACGGAATCAAGAGGGTCGGGACAAGCATCCAGACAATCTCCACTTTCAATCCGGTAATCCGTACTATTGGGAGCCTTTCATCGGTCATTTCCTCCGCAGGAATCCATTTTCGATCTAACCTACAGGAAGGATATCAAACACGAATCCTCCGCCTCGAAACAAGCAATGGCTGGCATACAGCACAATTCCGTTGGGTAAGCAACCGATGTATTGTGAGGTACTGCTGTACTCGAGACGCAAGTCAAGCTCAGAACGCGACTGATCCAGCATATGGTCGATATCGGGATGCTCGAACTCCGCATGCTTGCCCCTCCTGTTTGTCGATCGGCCAAATCGATTTGGCCTCACGGTTTTTTTCCCTCCCCGCAACCCCCTCCCCACAAAAGACACAAACACCCATCCTCTTAACGGCAAATGAGCGGACTCAACAGGGGCTGAAACGCTCGCCTGAACAATATCAACCAATATCATGTGTGGGGCGGGGGCGGAGATCGATCGTGTTAATGAGGAGGCTTGAACATGGGCTTACCCTCGGTTTGCTTTCGCTTCAGTGGTGATGCCCTGGAGAGCGCACTCATTGCTATTGACAGGGTTCGGTGTGTGTCTCTCGTGGGACGGGAAACCGTGTGGCAATGTTGGGAACTCGGGGGGGCGAAGAGAACCATTGCATATTGCCCCAAATCCCCGATGCCTTAGCCGAGACTCTGGGGCCGCCGCGAGGGTTGATGACAGGTTCGGTCGCTCATTAACGTTGCGCAGAGTGTGGCTTGTCGAAACTCATTCCTGAAGCTACCCCATGGACAGCAACGTTGGCACATGAGAGACAGGCGGGAGTCCCGGAAGGATGGCGAAACAGACAGATAAGACAGGCAGACAGACGGATAGACAATCCGCCAACCCGGAAGCGAACACGCGTGGGAACCGACACGGATACTGAAACCGTTTGTATATCGCTTTTGGCTCGAGAAATCTTTCAACACGAGGCTTCCCGCTTCCGCCTACAAGCAAATCCCCTTTCGCTTTTGCTCCCAGCGCTCTGTCGAGGTTTGTCCCTCGTCAATTCAGTTCTGACCTGAGGCGTACTGTTTTCGCTGCCGCTATCTGCTGCGACTCTATCAGATTGTCCCGGTACACACCATAACCTTTTTGACCCCAACAACGTCCTGCTCCAGAAAGGCAGCGCCACGGTGGTGACGGCTGTGCCTGTACACCTATGTCAATACCTCCATCCCACCCGGACGAAAAGAGATACCAAAGCCTTTGTAGAGCACGCTAAGGCCTGGCGCCGATGACAGGTGATCGAGTTCTACACGCCCCTGACGATGATCGTCGGGGCGAACGGCTGCGGCAAGACGACGGTTATCGAGTGCCTCAAGTACGCGTGCACGGGCGCACTTCCCCCCGGTGCGCGCAACGGCCAGTCGTTCGTCCACGACCCCAAGGTGAGAGGCTTGGATGTTTTTTAGTGTTTGTTTCTCTGGTGCTCTTGTTCTCATGGTAGATGTCGGAGATCTGACCCGCGTGTGACTGCCCCGGACGCGCGCCTAGCCGGTCGCTCGCTTCTTTCTTCGTTGCTTGATGCCCTACATGTACGAAGAAGGAAGGGGGGTGCGTAGGTTCGGAGGGGGGTTAGAGCGCGCTTCCTTTTCGTGAGTATCAGGTTGTGGCGATGTGTACCTGTTGCGTGAAAGGTGGAGCGTTTCGTGTCCCGCAAATTGTTTGCTTGCTTCCTTGCTAGGATACCATTTTCCACCTCGTCTTCGACGGGGGCAGAGTTTTCAACTGCATGCACGCCTGCCTCCCTCAGTTGTATTGACAGTACTATTATGGGACATATGGTAAACGTGTTACCGTATCGAAGCACACGGCAGCAAAACTGGTCAAGAGAAAATAATCCTAACGTGCGCAATCCCCCCGTATCCGTCGCGCGCACGAGCTTTACGTTGCAATGTTATCCAGGATTATCATACTAGATTTTTGGTTGCGGCACGTCATGCGCGACGTGCACGTACCAACCGTTGCGGCTGCGAAATGCCTTTGTTCTGCTGCTGCTGTTGTTGATGTGTCTTGTGTCATGGCACAGGTGTCGGGTACAAACGAAGTGAAGGCCAACATCAAGCTTCGTTTCTCGGCGAGGGACAGAACGGCGAGTACCTTTTTTTTTTTGTAGATGAAAGAAGGAAAAAAAATTATGCGTAGTATTTGCAAATATCTACCCTTGTTTTTCGGTGTTTGCTTGCCTTGCTCATGCATGAGAAGAACCGTCCAACACTCGAAATCTTGTTCTTGTTCCCTTGTTTATTTTAGCGAACGGAGTTCTCGTTGGTCCAAAGAGAGAACCTGTTGTGCTATTTTGTGTGGCAAACAATTCCCTCAAGCACCACCTCCTTGATCTGCGCGTGCCCTCTCCGTGTCCCTCTGTTTTCATTTCCCCGCTCTGTGGAAATCCCATGAACCATTGACCAGGTGGGTGTGGTGATCCGGTCCTTCCAGCTAACCCAAAAGCGGAAGACCCTCCAGTTCAAGGCGCTAGATGGCGTCATCAGGTAACGTCAGTGGTCTAGGAGCACCGTGGTTGACGCGAGGTCCCCCTCCGTGGGGAATTCAATTTTTTCATTCAGATTGCTCCGCAACTAGCAGAGGGATAGATCATCTCGATGGGTCAAAACGCGTGTGAAACGGTTCGTCGCCAAGCCCTTTCTATACCGTTTCAAGTTGTGTCCCGACTACTGGTCTGCTTTTGGCGACCAACTTTCCTATGAGAAGGCCCTCACCGCTGTGTTATTACCGTCGTGTCCCCGTGTGGCTCTACAACTAGTACGTTGGAACTCATGCGAAGCGTGAACTGCAGAGTCGCGGGTGAGCTGATTGTTGGTGCGCGCATGTGCGCGTTTGTTTGTGTATGATGTTTCGCAGGACGAAGAACGACTCCGGCCAAAGCGTGAGCATCAACCACAAGTGCACGGAGATGGACAAGCACGTGAGTGTGTGTGTGTGTGTGTGTGTGTGTGTGTGTGTTGTTGCTATTAGCATCGACCGTGCTAACCGGCTGACCCATGAAGAGACGGCAGTCTTAGTGCGGTTGAAAACACAAAACACTTCTAAATGCCACCCATTGAGGGGGCGGCATGGGGGAGGCTAAGCTATTCTCCGGATGAAAGACGGTAGGTAGCAATAGAAGAAAACTTAACACGTCTACGAAGGCTGCTACATTGCACTCTAGTTCGTTTTGGAGTGCTTTGACCATCATCCTCCTTGCTTTCACTGCTACCATCATTCTCATCATCATGCTGACAGCAGTTCTTTGGCAGTTCTTCTCTGGTCCTGCGTCTTTTGTTGTGGGGAAGGTCATCCGGCTCGAAGCTCCTGCTCTTTTCTACGCCATGATGCCCTCCTCGACTGCTGCTTTGGTCTCTGTCTCGTCCTCCTCCCGTTACCTCTCCTCCTCCTGAATGGCTGCCAAACGAATTCCCCTCATTGCCATCCTGGTCGTTTCTATCTGCACTACTACCGAGATCCCAACCTATTGGCCGTGGTGGGAATCGATCCATCAGTAGTCCATGGCGTTTGAAAACATCACGAGTTCGTATCGATAGAAAACGAGCCAGCTCGAAGGTAAACCGTCTCCGAATCCTAATGGTATGAAAAGCCTTTAGGCGAAGCAAGGGTTTTTCGTCGTCGAAATTACCCTTGCAGAAGGCTTCAAATACCAAGTGGTTGGCGATGGCTCCGATAAGTCGATTTGTGCCTTTGCCAAGACCATAGGTTGAAAACGCAGCGATAAGGAGGGTGAATCAAGACGGGTTGCAAGTTCCCCCACAGTGATTTTCCATACTTGCAGCTCGATATTCGAGGGCGGATCCGGGCTTTTGGATCGACTTGTCGATGCTTCGACCTGCGGATGGGTTGAAGATTGTTGCATTACAAGAATAGAGTTGGTGCAGAGTTCCTCTTCTTTATCACCTGCTTGTAATCCTGGGGGGATCACCAAAAATCCAGTGTGTGTGTTTTTTTTTTTCCTTCTTTTTTTGGTTACCCCACGGGGTTAGGTCAATGATGTTGTCACCGTCGTCGTCGCCTTCCCCGTGCCGTTCGAGCAGGGATCATTGGTGATCTTGTCTTTGGTTTTGTTTGTTTTATGCCATGTGTTTATCGAGCACACATCCGAAGCGGATAGAGGTTGCTGTGGCTTGCCGGAGCGGAAAAACAGGAGGGGCCGGGCTAAAAAAGTTGGTAGATTTGGTGGCGGGGTTCACTAGCCTCGCTCACAGCCAGGCAGGCCACTTCAGTGAGGGGCTTAGTGTTTCTACCGTTAGTTCCAACCGCGGACAAGGATCAGACCAACGTGCACTCGTTCTGTTCAATGCACCCCGGGATTTTCCCGGTCGAAAACACACTGAGATACCAAGTATGTGAGTGCACCCCGACCGATTTCATCCGCACCACAGTACATACTCGCAGCATACCACTAGCAAATCATGTTCGTGTCACATATTGCTGTGCCGTGTGTAACACTCCCGGCTACCTACGTGTGGTCTAGCGCTTCCTTTTGTTTTTCTCGTGGGGCTCTTTTCAGAAAATATGTCTACCCTCACAGAAAGAGTATCCTTTCGAGATAATACCACAGTCGGAAGGGGATGATGTGTTGAACTCTTGGCAGTGAGTGGGAGAAAAATAGACTGGATATCGGGCTTACTTGTGATTTATATCTAAGCTCCCTTTAACTTTATCTTTTTTTGAGTATGTTTGATTTTTTTTTGTTTTCTTTTTTTTTTGTCAGATCCCGCTGCGGCTGGGCGTGTCGAAGGCCATCCTGGAGAACGTCGTCTTCTGCCACCAGGAGGACGCCAGCTGGCCCCTGCAGGAGGGCGCGGTGGTCAAGAAGAAGTTCGACGACATCTTCGAGTCTGCCCGCTACACCAAGGCCCTGGAGAACATCAAGAAGACTAAGCAGGAGTACGCCTCCGCCGTCAAGGTGAGTACATCCTCGACTGGGTTCGCTTTGTATGTATGGGTTGGCAGTGTGTGTGGGGGGAGGGTTACGCCAAAGCCCTGAATACAATCAAGAAGACGAAGCAGGAGTACGCCTCCACCGTCAAGGCGAGTTGGTCCTCGACTGGGTTCGGGGCTTCGTGTGTGTGTGGTTGGCGAATGGAGCTTGGGGGGGTTGGGTTGGAGGTGAGTCGGAGTTGGGTCTTCACGCTTTGCGGGTTTGGCGGGATGGACCGGTGATATAGGGAGAGAGAGAGAGAGCTCGGAGGACGAGAAAAAGTGGGACAGGCAGAGAGAAGACAAAGAGAGAGATAGAGCGAGAGATAGGAGGAGGGGCGGCGCTCTGGTCCGTGCTGCTTCTTGTGGGATCAATCCGGAGGTAGACGTGCCTCACCTAGCCCCGTGCACATGACTGCGCCTGCACGATGTCTCACTCCTTTTGTTTTCCTTGCGATCGTCGTCTACCTCGCCTCGTCTCTGTGCTGCAGGAGCTGAAGGTCGATCTCGCCGCACTCCAAGAGAGGCTGCGCGCGGCCAACGACCTCAAGGAAGAGATGGACGCTTCCACCGAGACGTACAGCAACCTTCGCAAGGAGATCGAGGCGATCGACGAGCGCACCGCGGAGCTGTCCGAGTCGCTCGAGAAGCTTCGCGCCGTGGCGGATGAGGTTTGTATGTTTTCGTTTTCATATATTTATACTTGTTTTTCTTTTTTCGCTAGAGTAAGAAGCGCGTGGATGTGCAGCAGTCCCGAGTCCGGAGAGAAAACCGCGCTCCCCGCGGAGGAAGAAGGGGTTTGTTTTCTGTTCTGAAATTGTCGTTTTGACGTATCGCTCTCCTCCGTATAGGTGCGGATGCTGGAGGAGCGCAAGCAGTCCCTGTTGCTGGCGTGCCGCGACCTGGACGTGCGCATGACCGAGAAGCGAGACAACATCGGCGACGGCGAGATGAGCTCCGAGTCGGACGAGACGCTAAGGAAGAACCTTCAGGAGTTCGACGATAAGCTCGCCGTTGTCGTGAGTTGTTTTTTGGACGAATGAACATGCTTTCATTCCTCCTTCTATTTGTTGTTATTTCAAGTGCCTGTAGTAGGTTATCGGTGACTGCTTTCCTGGCGTACCGTGTTGACACTCCCTCAGTACTCGTCGATGAAGACCGATTCATTTTTGTGGTGTGCAGCTATTGTTGTCGTTATAGTCGTTGGGCACCTTTCTTCGTCCGTTTAGCAGGCCGGTGTGATCATTGTTTTTGTTCGACAATCAGTCCTGATCTGGTGACGGTGGCGCTTCTGCTGCTGCTGCTGCTGCTGCTGCTGCTCTTGTTGTCGATGTTGTTGCTGTGGTACATGAATCGTCTCTTGGTGGAGTAGGCGGACGAGATTCAGTTCTACGCGGACGAGGCGGACCGGTGCAGGGAGAGGGCTGAGGCCGCCAAAAAGAAGAAGGACCGACTTCAGGGGGAGCAGGGCAGCGTCCAAGCACAGCTCACCCAACAGGTAAAAGCTTTGGGTCGGTCGTCGTATTGTACCCTTCCGAAGCATTTTTAGTTGAGGAAGGAGGCATTGGAGGGCACCGGGAGTGTGTGCTTCGTGAACCACAAATGGGATACGAAGCAAGGGAAAGAGGAGAGTGGGGTGGGGTTTGATAGAAGTGTGCTTTGTTTGTGTTGGACCAGGGAGTGGGGGGGAACCAACCAGCGAATGGTTGGGCTTTCTCTAGTATATTTGTTCTTGTTCGGGCTCATTTGTTGCTCTAGTCTAGTGTTGGCGAAGGTGCGCTTCGGATAGTTCCCGGCACCGCAGCAGTGCACTAATCTAACTCCCCACGAAACATTCCTCCTTGCTTGCACTTACCAATGCTTTCGTGGTACTCCGCCGCACTACTGTGCACCTTGTTGAACCGTCACTCTCTTGGCATGTGTGCGGCGTGGCTCACTCGCCTAGCCTCACGGTAGGCCTGCACACGCCTGCCACGTGTCTGCAAAACGTGTTTTTTTTTTCTTCTTTGCAGGAGCGGGAAGTGGCGGCACGGGACGGCATGATGAAGAGCCTCTGCTCGCAATACGACATCTTCAACCCTGCGCCCTCCGCCTCCGCCGCCGGTAGCTCGGAAGCCCCAGGTGAGCCCCCCAACCCGATTCCTTTGCCCTAATACGACATGGAACGTCGCGTCTATCTCGTGCATCGCACAATGTATGGGGGGGAGGGCGTGCTCGTGATTTGCATGCGTTAGTCGTTAAGACAATTGAGCACGTGTCCTCGAGAGGACCGGGCGTTATTCCCTCAGGACCGATCACCGATGGACAATCATTCCTTCCTACTTTACTGCAAGTGGCTCAAAAAATGTTTTGGCAACCCTATTCTATCCTATCGTTATCGCTTCCCTCCTTTCCAGCCCGCTTCCTATGGAAGGCGGGGGGATAGGGGGTGTACTCATAGTCGTGCATGCCGTAGTCGTTAGACCATTGACCTCGCATCCCTACAAAGCCGGGACGGAGCACGCCGGGT